CAAAACTAAAGTAACGAGACAATTTTTTAAAATGTAAGGAGTAGAAAGTACAGATATTTGTGTAAAGTCGCCATAAAAATAAGTAGTAAAGTAAAGTAAAAATATCAGAAAAATCTACTTGAGTACAGTAACAAAGTATTTGTACTTCGTTACTTCCCATCTCTGGACACCGACCACAAAACAGGCTTGAATCAGACGCAACCTGACTTTCGTTCAGATTTCTCTAAACATTTTTTGATACCTACCTATGAGTCTTTGTTAGTTCTCGTAACTCACATCCGAGCAATCTGTAATTTGACCGCTGATATTTTCAATTACATTGAGACACATCCAAGTCATATGCAAGTCAACAGCCCACCCATCGTTCTCCTGGGTTGTTGGAGCATGTTATTTTATATGGGTTTTGTGTTTGGCCATTTGAATCACATTAAGTCTGTTGTCTAACCTTCTCAGAATGAGTTCTTGACTGCAGATGCTTGGAAGCTAAAACTACAGCCCTCCCGATCTTTTCAGTGATTGCTTCTTTCATGTGACAAAGATGCCTTTTGTTAATGCTCTTTCAAAGCATCTGTCCTCTCTGTCTTTAACTTTGTTTTTCAATCAAGTGTCTTTCGTTCTTGAGGTCCAAATGTACAGCTTAATCTTGCCAGGAGATGCTGGCTCTCCTGTGTTGCGCTATGTGTTTATGTAGTCCTGCAGGACTGCATAATCAATATTGGCCTGCTGTGGTTTGGCTTTTCTGTCTTTTTTAAATGTGTTTAAAGCAAAAAAACAAAAAAAAAAACTGGTGTATGCCTGGTGGGTGTGACCAGAGCATTAAGACACAACAATGCCCGACTCTCAAATTAAGGCATCAAACACTCTACAAATAAAAAGCCTGATTTGACCAGATCATTGCAGCACAGGATCTTATGTATTTAACCAAAAACACCCGACTTTGGAAAATTGACTGCAAGATGATCACAATATGGTACAGTAAAATTTTCAAAATAAAAGCCTTAATCTTCCATACTAATGTTGTAAATATTAGTCTTATATGGTGTGATTCAACAGCATGAAATGGGTCATCATAACCGATAGATCTGTTCCTGTCTTTAAGCCTTAAGCCACAAATAAATGGGACCTAAACTACTATTAGATAAAAGATTTTAGATTCGACATAACAGATCTTTGCAGTATAAAAAAATCATGGCCAGAATCAACCAGTTTTGGAAAGTGAACCAGTGCCTTTAAACATAGGGCCATTGTAGTCCTCTTTCTTAAAATTGTAAAGTAAAAGCATCACTTTTCAGGCTGTTAATTCCATGTGATTTAACTAGTTGAAATACGTTCCAGATTACAACCACACCAGACTTTCAAAATAATACCGTAACACACCCTACGAAATAAAGGGCTCTAGGATTTTTGTTACTTTCTTTTCAATGTTTGATGTTTGCCAATATAGCATTTAGGTGATAATAGCCCAACAGATTTGCTTTCACAAGTGGCGCATCATGGCTGCTGCCATACGGAAAGGAAGGTGAAATAGAAAGGGGTAGCAGAGAAGGTTTTATGGTAAGAGAGAGATAGAAAGAGAGAAAATGAATTAGAGAAAAGGAAAATACAGAATAGCTCCTAAAGAGGTCTGTGTCCACACCTGAAAGAAATTAGGGGAAGAAGAAAAAAAAAATCCACATCACACCAACAAAAATTAAACAGGGAGTATCCATGGAGGGAGACTGTATACAAACATCAACAGCATAATCTATGAAGATTACACAATGTTATCCAGAGCTATAGTTGAAGCTACAGGTTAGTATTAAGCATAACTGTGTGTCTGTGATACCTTTTATATCACATTCTTTACCCTTCTGGTGCTGAATTCAATGAAGACACATTGTTTGAACTATTTAGGCTCTTCACTGGGTCAAAGCCAACTTTATAAAACCCTAATGATGACAAAATAGGCCAGACTTGACCAAATAAGCCTGATTTACAAACTAAGCAAGTTGTATAAAGCACCCCTTTGTAGCCTCTTTTATTTACACGCTGAATAATGCATTATTTACTTACTCTAAACACCATCCTGGTGTTTGAGGGTTTTGCTACATTACGCAGAGTTGCACTTTACATAATACATGGCATCATGGGGTGAGAACAATATGAACAATTAAAATGGCATTTCAACACATCATATTAAACTTTATTGTCATTTAATTGTAGCCTATACAAAAACGACCACATTGTACAAGCAAATTGAAAGAACATTTTTCTAGGATCCAATTAAGGATCTAAAAAAAAACCCCACTTAACAAAAAAGATATAAGAAATTAAATAAAAACAATCAGACCTATGTGTCAAAACTTGACATATAATGTAGGTTTCTTCAAATGGTCAAACAAAACAAATCATTTTCAGAGTGATACAGAGACAAAACAGTTTTTTGAGTAAACATCAATAAGCCCTTACTCCAACAGGATATCTCTGGGAGAACTGACAAAGAGTGCTCAAGGGTTGTATTATTTACCAAATACACTTGGTTTAATGGAAAATTCCAAAACAAAACACAGAAAGAACTACTTTTCTCTCCAGCAGTGATTCCCAACAGGGGGTAGTGGACACATAGTGGTCCGTGAGGGGTACATGAAAATATTAAATTTTTTCAGGTAATAAAATAAAATAGGGCTGGGATCTGTTCTAATCTGAGAGGACCTGATTAAAAACTAAAGGAAGCTCTTTACAACCAAAAGTTTATCTTACATGTTTGAGTTCACTTTCGGCTTTGCCCCATTCAAAACCAAACAGAAGAACAGAATGGATGTGGAAAAGCTAAAACAAAATAAAATAAAATATAATGTGTTTTCCCACATCTGAGCTCACCGAAGCAAGCTCAGGTGTAAAATAAGTAAAACAAATGTAAGTCTGACTCTAATTTTTGTTCAGTATTTTATCCCCAATTCCTCAAGTTTAAATGTGATTATAGAGGTGTTACTTAGAGGAGCTGCGGTTTTATAAAGGCAGATTTATGATAAGATTTCATTTTTTATTTATATTGATTCTTTACTATATTTTCAATTTAAAAAGATTAAATAGAATACTTTTTATTTTTTAAATAGTTAGTGTACATTCCACTTTTTGGCAGTCATTGGACTGAGGGGGGACTGATATGAAGATAAAATGCCCATGCATTGTACATATCTTGCCACTAGATGGAGCCATTTCTCTTTTGCAGGGTTTAAAACTATCGTTCCCGAGACCTAGAAAAATAAAAACTTTTAAAAGCTACATCTTATGCAAATCGTAGCCCAAGTAGCTGCATATTTTCTCAGGTAATACTGCAAGGATTATATATCTATATATATATTTCAAACGTATTTGATGTGCAGCTTATCTGTAGGTTCTATGAATGGGACCCTTGATGTCGCGCCTCCTGCTTGAAGCTCCGCTCCTCTGTTTCCAAAGTGCGAATCAGTGAACTGCAACTGTTAGACAGAGTTCTGACTCAGTGACAAGAGATGCTGTCCTAACCAAGCCAATTAACATGCTTTTATTGAACTCTCGCGATTTACTCAAAGGGACTAAAGCAGATGCTTGTGGGATGGATCGGTGTCGCTCGCAGAAGTAAAGGCGCATTTTAAAAGTGATGGAATCTGTTTCTTTACCGAGTCGCACTTTGAAGAGAGGCTGAACAAGTGGAATGAAGTCGGGTCGCCTTCAGACAGAATGGTTGGTTGTTAAAAAGTTTGATTTATGGCCTACTTTCCTTATTGCAACCTTCCTTTCATATTAAGTTAAAAGTTTAGTCACTACAAATAAGACACTTGTGACTTTGCTCATGCGTCTTTTATTAGGACTGCATGGTTTCAATTTGTTTCCATGAGTTAGGGGAGGATTAGACTTTATCATCATGATTTCTTTACCTTTTAGTCTGTTTCTGTCTTTAATGACACTTTCCTAAATCGTGCGTATGCTTCTAAATCAGTGCATGCATGTGCTTTAAAACATATTTTCTCATCTGTAACAAAAGTGTTGCATGCAATGTATTTAACTCTCATCCCTGCTTCTGAATCATCCAATCAGTAAATATGGCTCATCTTTGTCCAGTTTAATGTATGAATAAATACAGCAATTCTGTGGAGGGATGAATGGTTTGTTCAAGTAGATTAGTGAGCAAACATCATTATGGATTTCAGAGTTTGACTATAAAAAATATGAATCGCCCTCCAGTTACTCTGGCAGAGCTATATTTACAGTTCAAGAGGAAGAATTGGTTAAGAAGGAAACTGAGTCATGGTCCCCAAAGATTTGGTCTGTTACTTATTTGTAGTTTGCCAAAAGCGACGTGGGGCACAGCAAATTTAGGATGTAGAAGATGTTTTGGTCAAATTAAATTAAACTAGATATTTGGCCGGAACATTAAACCCTTTATATGGCAAAAAAAACAAACAAAATAACACATAAATTAACAAAATAAACAAAAAAAAAAAAAAGCCCCAACCATCCCTGCTGTGTTGCATGGTAGTGGCGGCATCATGCTTTTTCTTCTTATTAAAAGTTCTTTTTAAGAATGTTGAGGATAAAAAAAGGACAACCCTGCACTAAAAATATGTAGAGGGTGCAAAGAATTTGAGAATGAACAAAGAACATTAATTTAAAGCTGCACTAAGGATTTATATAAAAAAGTTATCTGTTAGAATATCTATTTGAGTCTCACCTAACCTCTAAATATGCAAGTTCACAGACTTACGCCAAAAGACTTGCAATTGTAATTGCACTAAAAATGCAGTTGTAGACTTTCAAACAGGGGACTAAATTGCAATACATGTTGTTTTGTTTTTCTGGGGGTCAGGGGGATACACCTGATAATTTTACTACTGTTATTATCCATTTTATTGAACAACTAGGGCTATGACCTTAACAGTTACCATAACAAAGGCAAACCATACATAACAATTGCATATACAGAAAATTAGTGGTTTGTTTTGGTGGCTAATTAAGAATGAGCTTCTTTTGCCAAGTTTTGCATACAAACAAGAAATGTTGCCATTGCTTCATTGCTTTCTCTCGGTGATACTTAAAGGAATAGTACACCCAAAACATGATTAGCCTTCATTTTCTACTCACCCCCATGCTGAACAACACCCTGGAGTACTTTTTTGATATCTCAAATGCATCTGGAGATCTGGGAGGCTTCTTGCTGTCTGCTGACATTCA